TTTTTTGTTTCATAGCTAATGCATTCTCATTTTAAGACTTTGCTCTTTTTGGCGGGCACTGGTTTAAATCATGATCAGGCATGGGCAGAGAACGAGCACATGGTCAAAGAGCGTAATCATCATGTGTACGTATACAAGCAAGAGCGTAACGATGAGAACGCGACAGCATGCAAAATGACCCAGTAGAAATCTTAAGCATACAACATCGCTGTTGGTGGCATGAGCTTGCTGCTGCGTATACATGCCAGTATAAATGAACCTTCATTTCCATTTAACACATGTGGTTTCTCAGAGCGTATGCGTACCTTAATCATACACTTGTATTACTGCTGTATGCATATGGCTGTATTAATGTTTCAAACATACAAAAATGCATTAATGGAACAGTATTAAAGCATTCTTACAAGATCCCCATATGTAAATGCTACTTTTCTGATACATTTTAATATACGGGGATATACAAACAAGTAGCACTTACATATGCAAATGCATATCTTGTAAAAGCTCGTTTGTGATGAAAATAGTATCGCACAACACGTCCGTTCACTAAAATTTTTGTACAAGACTGAAAATATTACAAAAATTCCACTTCAAATTAATCAAGAAATGTACTTAAAACAACGACAACGTACATTCGCTTGCAATTCGCTAGAATTTGAATTTATTCGTGGAAATTCATGACTACGAATGAATTGTTCACACTAATTTACTCATATAGCAAGCATCCTTCAAGAATGCATACAACCGATTTCTACTGGGGAATTAGGCACACTAACACATTCTCACTTTTAGCTATCGCTTGGTTTTGGTAGTGCCCACCTCTGATCATGATTCAATAATACAAGGTTGGATAAATATTTAGTTTGTTCCAGTACTTCGGACTAAAACCTGTGGACATGTCAAACTACAATTTTACTCTCTCTAGTGAGAGTAACAGGAGAACAGATGCAGAAGTGTACGGGAGCGCAAAAAGCACTTTTTCCGGCAAACACGTCATTTGGTTTGTTTACTTGTCATTATTACAAGACTGATTTGGCTGAAAGATCACTAAATAACTTAAAATCTATATAATTAATAATAATTGCATATATATTCGAATATTTCATTATTTACTTCCATTTTTTAACAAATGTAAGGTTATTTGCTTTCACCGCATTCTGTTTTTGTACACAAATGCAACTCTACCTATCGTTTGACACTTTTCATGATTTGCCAGAAGAAAAACTCCGGACTAAATCTTGAAACATCATTCTGGGAACAGTTGCTCAGTTACTCGCACTAAAGTGTTCCTAGATACAGAATTTTTGGCGTACGGGAACGACTTTGGACTAAGTCCTGCAAAACCTGCAAATCGTAGACGTAGTGGGAAAAGTAGTCTGGTAGTGCTAAAATGCGTTTTTTGTATATTATATTGAATTAAAATATTAAAGCAGATTCCATTGATCTACACAATAGACAATGAATTAATTTTTTTATGGTGTATTAAACATGCTATATAGATATTAAAAATGCAATAAATGAAAATGAAAGAAAAATCTTACCGACAAATATTCCCAAATATTCAAAATAAACTATGGTTTTATTAAAACTCCAGTATATATTAAATAAAATTAATGGAATTCAAACAAATCCTTTATTCAAAGGGACTATATTGCACACCGTCTTCAAAAGAGTCACAACTCTAAATTTGGCATTTTTGAGATTATGCGCTAAAAGTGTACACAGGGCTTTTATTTACCTTTCAGCAAAAGCTGGATAAAATTTTTGTTATAATTTGTAAAAAAGACCTAAGGTAAAGTCGTCCTAGCCCATATGATTATCATGTGCTAAGAAATAGTTTTTCGCATTTTCTGACAAACGTATTGTTTTGAGTTGTGACTCTTTTGAAGACGGTGTGCAATATGAAGAAATATACAACTAGTAAAGATTCAATTAATACAATGTATATAAATTAATCTTTTTAAAAAATTATTATATTTGTTGCATTTAAAAATTACATGTTCAATATCTTAAATTGATTTACATTTGGTGGACGGACACACAAAGTGATCCTGACCTGCACAAGATAAAAGCTTTATTGATATTTACACTTTCACTTTTATGAGGTGGTATACTTACTTGTAAGTATGTTATGGCTGCACTTCACCAAATAAATCGGTGCAGCTGTAATTCCCAGTGTACTGCACCAGCCAAATGTGGACGGACACACAGAGATCCTAGCNTCGGTGCAGCAGTAATTCCCAGTGGACTGCACCAGCCAAACGTGGACGGACACACAGAGATCCTAGCACGCAAAACTTATTGGTAACGGCTGCACTTGCTGTAAAACGCAGGTTTTTGAATAACTCCGATACTCTGCAAAGAAATATGTAAATTATTTCTTCAATTCAAAATAGCTCCATTATTTTTGATTTTTTTGGCATGCTTACTTGAATTTGCGCAATAAGAAAATCAATTTCCTCGAAACAATCTACTAACGGCAGTGTTGCCTGTTGAACTTTTTATACGAAGACAATATTTCTCCTTGTCTTTTAGTAGTAGTTTCTATAAATCAAAAAAGAAAGCAACACAGGCTAAGGCAGAATGCGGGAGCGAGACAACTGCCAGGTTATCCAACCTTGTGTTATTGAATCATGTAAATTCAAATCCCCAGCAAGAACGACCTAACGCATTCTCCAATACTCTTAAAAAATTTTCAATAAAAACCAACACATTTGCATATTAGCGATATCCATATGCCATTCTTTGCATTATATAACACGTTATTAATCGCATAATAATATTTGATTGAAAAGAGACAATTACATATAGGATAATATAATAGCGAATTCCATGTAAAAGAAAGAGAAAACAGCTCACACGTGAAACGATTATGCGTTAGATTTCTCCAGGAGCCCTATGTAAAATAATGGAAAGTTTTTGAATATCTCACACAAACTTTTTGTAGTACTAGGCGTATATAACGCATTAGTTAACAGATAGGGTTCTTACTGGGTCCGGCTTGATTAACCATTGCTTTCCCGCTCCTGTAGTGCGATTCCCATTTTTCTTAACGACCGATATTCGTTATTGATAATGAACGACGTTTGTAGCTTGCAGTAGCGAATAGGCTATTCCCAAAAACACACTTAACGACAGAATTCGTTAGACATGTCGATAAAGAAGTTTACGACGATTGTCGTTAATTACAAAGCCAAATGTGGCAATATTGACGTTTGATACTCAATATTTAAAAGAAACTTGTTATTGTTGCGCGTATTATTGTGTCGGGATTGTTGTTTGTGAATACAATATGAAAAAAAGAAGAGCAGGAGCTACTACGGAGCAGTACCATAGGATGCTGAACTGCTTATTTGGCAATAACGGCCTCGTGCAAGGCGAATTTAATAAGGGGGTATAAGCGGTATATAAGTAAAAAATTACAAATTATACGCACAATTACAGTATGAATTACAACAAACACATCATTTTGACATTATGCTTTCCACGTCTAAAAATTCAGCTTTGGCTCTAGTTTTCGACGTAAGGGTACTTGATAATTTCCTTAAATTTAAAGTTTTTTTTTATAAATAACTCCAACAAAGTCCGTTAAAGTCATTTTACCAAACTTTTTCACATGACTATTTTTTAATATAACCTTCACTAAAATAGTCATGTTAAACATTTTATTGAAACAACACTAAAACTGATTTATTTACAAACAAGTTAAAATTGAAGCAAACTGGAGCTAATCAGACCCAATGCCCCAATTAAGTGAGATCAACTTTTAAAACCTTTGATAATGGTTTCAACTTGCACAGTGTAATAAATAAAAGAAACAATAATAAAAAGCACATCCATATGTGATAAATTTTTATTTATTAGTTATTTTTTATTATAATAGTTTGCTTATCGATGAATTTGGCCTAATTTTTCTCAATAAAAACTTAAAACAATTTTATCCGCAGGCTTTTAAACGACAAAATATTCGTAGCTAGGTTATCGACAAATTTCGTTAGACAACTGTCAAAGCTGCCGACAATATTCGCTAAAAGCGTGCTTGAGAATTGCAGTTAACGACTACTAATACTATGTCTCCATTAAAAGATCTACGTATTAAGATTTAATAAATCTAGTTGCTAAATCTTAACCGTCTCCGTTGCCACAACGAGATATGTTTGACGTTCACATTTTGAAATATTTGACGTTTGATTATGTATGTTTTTATAAATACAGTTGCGGACATTGATATACACACAAAACGGTAAATAACATTTGCTGAAAGAAAAATTTTTAAAATTCGGTAATGGTTTGGGTGAAATAAACTCTCTTCTTCATAAGCCGAAAATTCAAACGCAGGCCTTTGGTATATCATGAAGACCTAGCTAGCAAAAATGACGGCCAATGCATTTCTTGAGTCGAATTGAGTTCTAGAGGATTTTTTGTGCAATGTTATCGAAGCAGAACCATTTTCTGAATTTTCTAAATTTTATGTCGTAGCGCGTAAAAGATTTATGGGAAGCGAAGAAGACTCTGCATTATATTATCATAAAACATATTTTCTGAATTTTTAGTTTTTAAAAGAGTATATTCTTGATTTATTAAAACAAAAGTTAAGTAAATACTAATAATTTGGCTTTAAAACTAACCAAAATATAAAAACACCCCTAAGAATACGAAATTGCATGTTTTTTTAATCGGCTAGATTTCAATGTCCGCAACTGTATATTGAAAATACAAATGTCATTTGACTTATGGCATGTGAATATGTGGATGCCACACCTTAAAAATTATATTTATTGATCAATATTATTGAAGATTTAACGAAGTTTTAACTTAAATCTACTGCCTTTCGAGATTTAATTTTATATGACAAATCTCGAAAGTTTTAACGTTAAATCTCGTCAGAGGGCTAAATCTTCATTAAATCTTGCAATGGAGACATAGCCTAATGATACGAATATTGTCAAGAAAAATGGGAATCGCACTACTGGTATATGTATACATCGACTTAAAATATTACATTACATTTCGAACGCAGTGCGTGGTGAATATCTCTTGTAACAGCGAAAATATTTTGTGTGAAAATAAATTGACGACGGGAAGTTTTGCTATTAGTCAATTGTTTTTGGCGTTCTTCATACAAATATATTCGACGGCATAAGCGCTTCCAAGTCCATGGCCATGGATGGTGGCGAGCAAGAGCAAAACTTTCGTATGGGCCCGTTGTCGCCACAGGAAATAAAGCCAGACATTTCCATATTAAATGAAAACAACACTAGAGGATTTTCTCCCAAGTCAGCAAGTCCCGTTTCTTTCGGAGCTATCGGATTACAGACAATGAATATTACAAACACAGTAGGAGTTGCAGCAGTTTCAGGTCACAATACGAATCAGATGCAACAGCAACAATATCCCCCAAATCATCCATTAAGTGGATCGAAGCATTTGTGTTCCATATGTGGGGATAGGGCAAGTGGCAAGCATTATGGGGTCTACAGTTGTGAAGGATGCAAGGGATTCTTTAAACGTACGGTTCGTAAGGACTTAACTTATGCTTGTCGTGAGGACAGAAACTGCATAATCGATAAAAGGCAACGAAATCGCTGTCAATACTGTCGATACCAGAAATGTCTGGCTTGTGGTATGAAAAGAGAAGCAGTTCAAGAGGAAAGGCAACGGGGAACTCGCTCCCAGAATGTTCGTACAGGCGATGAATTCAATCCAACTAGCACTGTTAGAGATTTAACGATAGAAAGAATAATTGAAGCAGAACAAAAAAGTGAACAACTTAGTGGAGATAACGCAATGCCATTCCTTCGAGTTGGACCGAATTCTATGGTTCAACCTGATTATAAAGGAGCTGTGTCACATCTTTGCCAAATGGTTAATAAACAACTTTATCAAATGGTTGAATATGCTCGGAAGATGCCACATTTTGCGGAATTGCAACGAGATGACCAAGTACTTTTACTCAAAGCTGGCTGGAACGAACTTCTTATAGCAAATGTGGCATGGTGCAGTATGGATTCCATAGATGCTGATTATGCTACATCAGGTGGTCATGATTCAAATTTCGGACGTCGTTCACCCATACGCCAACCTCAACAACTTTTTCTTAATCATAACTTTTCCTATCACCGTAATAGCGCAATAAAAGCTGGTGTTGCGACTATATTTGATAGAATTCTTTCCGAGCTCAGCGTTAAAATGAAACGACTTAATATTGATCGATCTGAACTATCATGCTTAAAAGCTATTATATTGTTTAATCTGGATATACGCGGCTTGAAAGGGCGCAATGATGTGGAAGTTTGCAGGGAACAGGTCTATGCTTGCCTCGATGAACACTGTCGTACTGAACATCCTGGCGACGATAGTCGATTTGCCCAACTTTTACTTCGGCTGCCTGCTTTGAGGTCCATTAGCCTTAAGTGTCTGGACCATTTGTTTTTCTTTCGCATTATGGGTGATAAACCTTTGGACCAGCTTTTCTTTGAACAGCTTGATGCACAAATGTGTTGAGCAATAATATGCTTATGTATTTATTCACTTATAAAGTGCTTCGCTAGATATTATTCAGCCCTATCGTTAATTCCATGTGAATAAATCGTTCCCATAATTTAACATGCAAAACAAAAACAAATTGGGAAACATTTTTTTTTTGCTTTGTAATTTTTGGGAATATTTGTTCATGTGAAATTCGCGATAGGGCCGATTGATTTGGAACCACCTTTTCAATTATGTTCTTGAAATATATTTCTCTTAGTAATTCACTATTTACTGTACAAAACTTTTTTTAATACAGACATATTGTAAATTAAATAAATGTATTTAATCCCTTAAAATCTAAACGTGATATTAATTCAATCCAATGTCAGAAGAGATTGACAACCCGTTAAGAAGTTAGGTCGGTGGGAAAATTTTAGTATGCGAACCGCAAATTTTAGAAAAAAGAGGTATGAGGGGGCACAGTAGGACCACTTGATTTCAAAAAAAGCTACAATTTTTTACAGCAACCCTATAATTTTTATAAAATTTTGTTGTTAAAGTTTATACATATATAAAAAAATGAATAAGATAGCAAAATATGTAGCATCAAACTTGGCGCCGCCGAACTTTCACTATAAAAGCATCGTTATATATATTTTTTTATTCAATATATCGTTGCCTTAATTCACAAAGGCCCTAACCAACACATCATATTTTCGAAAATACATATTTTGGTAGGATCAAGGCGAATTTATATAAGGTAGTGTTACTAGCTCAGCTGATTTCATGTATGTGTTTCGCCGCAAGGCTTCTGATATCAAATTGAAAAATTTTGTTTGCATTTCTACACACACTCTTACAGATCTTGACAGTTTATGCCGCCAAAGAAAAAACAAAATACATGTAAATTTTTGTTTTTGTACTCCTGCTGTCACCTTATAATTAATTCGTCTTGGGTAGGATATATTAAAATACAACGTCAACAAATATTTTAAAGTGCTAGAACCAAAAACAACGGAGTTACATGCCACTTTTCAAAAAGCTCTACCTTTTTTTTGATATTCTTTTTATAAGTAATGATTTTTTACTTCTCCTGTAAAATAAAAAATATGTTTTGCATGTGCATGTACGATATTTTATTACTTACATAACATAACTTTTTTGACTGGCCACTGTAAGCTCAGAGGGCACTTGTACAAACTAGGTGTCTGGTCCAGCGACTTGTGTCGCTTCTGCGATGCGGCCAGAGAAACTCCCCTACACCTTATGGAGTGTGAGGCCGTTGCGCGCAGGAGGTATAGGAGCATAGGGCACGTCTGGCCAAGAGAGGAACACATACACTCACTGTCCCCGGTGTCTATTATGAAGTTTATAGACACTCTGGAGCTGGCTGAGGTGTTGTGATGAGCTAGGGGCACAATAGACCTACCGGTCGCAGTGCCTTACCCAACCAACTAACTAACTAACATAACTTTTTTAACAATAAGCTGATTGCTTTGAAATTTTTGGAAATTTGTCGTTAATATGTAAGCAATAAAGCCTAGTATACAGAAAAACCAAGCTTAAAAATGAAACAAGCGATTAACAGCAAAAAAGCAAGGCAACTCTATTTTCTCAGTTTTGAACTTTTCTGTTTTGAGATTGCCGGAGATTCGATATAAAGAGGATTGTGGAGACTCCCTTGTTTTTAATAGCGATTTTCATACGTCTGGGAATGCTCTCTACTAAGTTTAATTTAATTTATTAATGCTTAACGCCAATCGGCTTTGTACTAATGTAATAATTTAACACATTAAACATTCTAGGATAATTACATTACAAGAATAATTAGACAATTCAATGCCGCAATTCAATGTAAACTTTTTACTGGTACGGGCGTCCGCCTAAAACCGGTTTTGTGTGGATAAGAGGGGGAAGAGAGTTCGGGTTTACCTCGCTCATTTCAGTCCGCCATTCGCGGACCGCTAACCCTCTTTTCGTCGATTTGACAGCATCCACCCAATCGTTGACGTCATAATATACTTTTGTTTACATTCACTGTTGCCAACTTTATGCTTTTCGCACCAAATTTAGTGGGTATTCAAAACGCGAAAATTTTTGAGTTTTGTGCTTGGTGCGTTTTTGGTGCTTTTGTTTTTAGTTTGAAGACTTCAATTTAGAAAATCTTAAAAAAATAGAAGCAAAATTTATAGCAATCGTAAGTGTGCTAAGCAATTTTATAAAAATTTAAACAAAATCATTGCACAGTGACAATCATAAGCGACAACGAAATATGTGCAGCACCTTCAATCATGCCAGAAGAAATCGACCGTTGTGCAAGAAACATTGATTTTTATTAATTTGAATCGGCATCCTTACAATAAAATTATGTATTCATATAAAGTCCATAAAATACACCAATAAAAATTTGGTGCTTTTTCAAATTCAAAACTTGGCAATACTGCCTTTTGTTCGATGCTTCTTCTTTTTCTTGTCGAGTTCGTCTTGCTCTCTCATTCTGGTATATTTTGACGTCACGGCCAGTTGCTCTCAGCTCGATTGGCGCAATCTTGTATTCTATCATTCTTGGGTGCGACCTTTATTTTCTGGATCGTGCTGGGGTCCGACTGAGCAAGCTAGTGTGCTCAGGCCCTATATCAAGTGGACTATCGTAAAGCTGTGTGTGATGTTTCAAGTAAGAAGTAGTTGATCGTTCACGTTTTTCATAAACAGCGCATGAAAGTCTTGCGATTCTATTAGGCCCGTGCAATATGTAGTTCTTTGTCGTCCTTGTTATTTCGAGTTGGCGGTTGATTCTGAGGCCCACTTTGGGGCAGATGAGCCCAAATTGCTCAAGAATTTCAGGTGAACAAATGTGACCACTGATTACTTTGTAGAAGAAGGACGGGGCGGCAACTTGCCTTCTGCTCATGAGGCTACTGATTCCGAAAAGTTTGTTGACTTCATTGGTGTTCATGGTTACACCCTGAGGAGCTTCCAGTCTATTGACAAGCTGGTCTGTGAACGGTGACCACCCAATAAACACAACGAATTCGCCTCGAATTCAAGTCGAGCTTGTTTTCTCTGATAGAACTATCGAGATGATACTTCGCGACGATAGATCTTCGAATTTTAATTCGTAGGAGAGTCACCTATCGTTAGCGAATCGAGTATTGCTAGTTTTTCGAATCGTTGGCGATGCGAGAAATTTTTTTCTTCGAATCGCTGGCGAATCGAGAATATTTAATTTTTCTAATCGTTGGAGATTCTATAATTTTTATTTTTCGAATCGTTGGCGATTCGAGAATTTTTTGTTTTTCGAATCGTTGGAGATTCTAGAATTTTTATTTTTCGAATCGTTGGAGTTTCTATAATTTTTATTTTTCGAATCGTTGGCGTTTCGAGAATTATTGATTTTTCCACTCAAGACTTCAGCTCGCTGGCGGTTTGAGAATGCAATTTCTTTCGACCCAAGTTTTATAGGATTTACCTTGCTATCTACACCATTTCCAGTTGTAAATGAGAAAGCGTCAAATGAAATTGCGAAAGCGTCATTTGGAAATGAGAATAGTCAATTGTAAATGCGATATCGTCATTTGAAATTGAGAATAGTCAATTGTAAATAAGAAAGCATCAATTGTAAATGAGAAAGTGTCATTTGAAATTGAGAATAGTCAATTGTAAATGAGCACATTATACAGTAAACCAGCCATTGACAATATGCTCATTTGAAAATTAATACATGAAATATTGTGAATGTATAGGATTTTTTTGTCATTAACCCATAGGCAACGACTGATGTAAGAGTCATTCCCACGACAGCCGGTTCTACGTACCGGAATGACTCGGGTTTTACCCGACCAAGGGCTGTTGTTTCGGCGATCTAACCCCGTTTAGGTCGGCGAAGTATCTCAGAAGTTGTCCGTCCATAGGGCAACATTCACTACGCATTCTCCTACTCAGGGCTGGCATCGAGTCAAACCCTGGGCCAGAAATATACACCTGCTGTGTATGCCGAAGACG